AGAGTAGAGCAAACCCAACAACATCAGCCCAACAAAACGGCCCTTTTCAGGGCCACCAAACTTTCGCAAAAGAGTTATTAAGGAATATTCCTAAAATATAACATACACAATTAAATACAACACATAACAGACGTTATCCAACGCCAACCCTGCGGTCGTATCTAGTATACAACCCTTCCAACTTTTTCATTCCCATAAATCACGATTGTTTAGGTGCATAATGTAAATCAAGCATTAAAAGTGGGTATCAAACAAGACCTAAAGTTTATTAAATACATCTAAAGGATAGTCAACTTAATGAAAAATAAACTTTATCGAAAAGAGTTTACGCCTATTGTTGATCGTTATTTAGTTATTCATGATTTTCTGAAGAATGGATAGACATATTTTGGCATATCTCGTTTAAAATGTTTATAAATTTGTAATTTTATACAAAAATGGTCAATACATTATCAAAATTACTCAAGTAAATATTTTAAAGTAGTGCTTTTCTAAGAGCTATTTTGATTTTAGCTGCTCATAAGTATCAGTGATTAGATTAAACTCTTTCAATATTCCTGCTAATCTAAAGTAAAGTAAAAGCAAAGACATCATATCAAGAAGATTGGCAACTTTGCCGGAATTCAAGCGACAGAGATACAGCTGCACTTGAGCGAAGGTGAAAATAAGCAAATCCACAAACCTTTGCCCAGAATTGTATGACAGGCAAATTTCACACGATGAATTTTACCATTTAGTGCGTCAGAGTACCTTTTCGAGTTGGCAAACCGATTGGGACACTGGAAATCTTGGACGGTGGTTACATTCAATTATTCCTAATGTTTCTTCGAGAGCGTGGTTTAAAGGCTTGGGCTTAAGTCATGACTTCATTCGCGTGATGAGTAGACTTATGTCCAACCACTACTCGCTAGATGCTCATCTCAATAGAATAAACCTCGTGGACAGCAACATCTGTCGGTGTGGAAACGGTTACGATGACATCGAACACGCAGTTTGGCAATGTACGGATAATGACGCCGCCAGAGAGCGACTTTTGAATACCCTCGAGGCCCAAGGAAGACAACCCTATGTTCCTATCAGAGACGTGTTGGCAACCCGTGATCTCTGCTATATGCAGTCCGTTTATGTTTTTCTTCAAATGTCTAGTATAAGAATTTAATTCCTTTTGTCTTTTATCTCTCTTTATTAGTTTTTGTTTGTCTTGTCCCCCCGTCTCGATGAGTCTCATCGTCGCCCACTGGTCACCCACCATAGCCGGTCGAACTCCGGACGAAGCTAGAACAGCACTACCGTTCATACTGGCGACAACGCTCTGATGAGACAACGAAACCCTACCCCAAGCTCCTCCCCTGATCCTATCCTTCGAAAATGTACCCTTCTAACCTCGAGTAAGCCGCGAGTAATCGGCCCAACTCCTACTAGACATAGAATTAAGTGAATTTTGTTGCACACAGTGAACAATGAATTATCGGCTCCGTAAAGCTAACGCGATTGAGCCTTACAAATAAACGAACTAGATAAAAAAACAAACCTTTGCCCTGAAGTTGGAATCTTCACTATCAAATTCGATCGTAGCGTTTACCTTTGAGCGGCTGATCACGCAACTGTTCCTGGCTCATAGCGGTCGTATAGGAAAACGGGAAAGTTTCCAGTTGCCGTGATATTTAATTTATTTTTATTATAGGTATCCAAAAATTATACACGTAAGTAGATGATCTAAAATTGCGTAGAACAGACATCCCTGACTATTATTATTCAACACAGCTGACGTGTTGACAGAACGAGGGAAAAGCAACTAGTGAAAAAAAAAACCCGAATTTATCCACCTATGGTGTGATCAGACCCTTCTTACTTATTCAAGTTTATTTATTTTATTGTCAATATCAGTGACCAAGTCCCCCCACCCCCGTGTCATCCAGTGACGCTACGCCACTGCCTGGGGCTACCCGGAATATATCCGGGTGTAGTCTATTTGGTGAGGCTACCAATCACCTTATCATCGTATTTTAATGTGATTTAATGGGTTTTAATTCAATTCATATTCAAGCAACTTCCCCGGGGTACCCGGAACATGTCCAAGTGTGTCCAATGTGGTCTGGAACAATTAACACGACTTGCATTGATCTTATTTTTGAATTCTGTAGTAATTAGATGTGTCGCATGATGGTTTTGATGCGTTTTCCGTTAAATCCAGCGTGAAGGCCCATATTCACCGGATCTTATTCCAGCCATATCTCCGGAACCGGTTCACCGATTTCAAAACCGTTCAATAGCGTTCAATGGGACCCCAAGACCTATCATTTGGCGCCGAGTTTGTCCAAATCGGTTGAGCGGTTGCTGAGAAACGTGAGCGCATTCATTTCGTTACATACACACACACATACACACATACACACACACACAGACATGTTCCGATCTCGTCGAGCTGAGTCGAATGGTATATCGATAGTCGGTTTTTCAAGTGATATCTATACCCTTCTTTGTAAGAAGGGTAAAATGCATGAACGGGGGATGTTCCGGTTGCAAATCCAAACTTGAGCATGTGCATGATAGAGGGTGCTAGCAACCGGTGGAAACTAACGATTTTAAATTGGATCAATACTTGACTAGCCTATTGGTCCCAAGCAAATCGATTAACGTACCCTATTATAGTCGAAATTCTAGTACTACACTATGTTTGTTTTGATTCGCTATGAAAGTTTGACGGATCAAATGAGGGGTTCGTGAATTTTCCTATGTTTCGAGGGGTGCATAGATTAGCTTGGGGCCGAAGAGAGTATCAGAGCTGTGCCAAAAAGTTGAGCACGTTTCTTCGGGACCGTCTAGTCTTGTGTAGTACTAGAATGTTGACTAGAATGGGGTACGTTAATCGTTTGCTTGCGACCAATAGGCTAGTCAAGTAGTGAGCCAATTTAAAATCGTTAGTTTCGTATTGATTGTTGGTTATATGAAAGAAAAACTATACGCAATTGGAGAATAGTTCATGAACAAAGAGGACAAGATATTTTTTTATTATAACTCATTTTTTATCATCGTCTGATCTTCGAGGGAAAAAACATTTAGAAACAGCTCATGATTAAAAGACGGAAAACTTCGTAATAAATGATTACAGTAGGGTAGAGAACTACTTCAACCTAGGTGCCCATTTTGGGCCTATCAAGCAGAAAACATCAAATCAATCCGTGATTTCGGAGTTAACAGGTAAATTAAGCGTTTGGTACGATACTTTAGTTCAAATGCTACCGAACAAAGTCAATAAGAACGCGTGATATAAATGTTTGCATCCAATCCATTCTCAAAAATAGGTGAAGCGCTTCGACCGAATTAATTTTTATCTTCATCCGATAGGCCTAAGTGAATTCATTGGCGTTTCAATGCGTTAAACCGAGTTTAGAATCCGTAGGCCGAGATTGGTGTCAAGAAGCAGTGTTATACAATTATATTATTATGTCAACAATATCTCAACAATTTGTTACTCTTTATCAAATCTTACGATACGTACGGAAAGGTAAATAAATTTGGAAGCCATCAGTAATAATAACATTCCGTTTGGTGCGAAACTACGCTAGATTAAGAAAGACGTAGAGTGGGTTGTGCTTAATAGGCCGAAAATGGGGTAGTTAACCCTATCAAACATATTGGGATCATTAAAAGTCTTATGAACTGCTCATAAGAAAGAATCTCTAAAGGGCTCTTATAATTGGTATTCAGCGCATGTAAAATTAGTCCATATTGCAGGCCCCTTCTATGGTCTCCACCTTCATTATGCCAAAGAGGTCATCCACAAATTATGTATGGGATTAGGGTGGTGGAGGTGAGGGGCTCCTCACAATTTACAGTTTCTTACAATAGGGGTGAACATTTTCTTACAATAAGATATGGATAGAAGAAGAAAAATGATATTTACCCCTTTATGCCAAAAATCCTTAGCATACATTTATTAAGTATATGAAAAGTTGATAATTTTTTTGTAAAAATAACTCAATATTCAAGGATGTTTTCATATTCTGAAATCTTACTCAAATTTTATGGGTGAGGGGGTAAGATTACACTATTGCAGTGTCTTACAAGGAGAGAAGAGGAGTCTAATAATCCCTCAAAAACCCTTACATGGATGACCCTAGATGGCAATTATGCCAATCGACATATAAATATGTAAAATTGTAAATCTCCATAAAATACACCATATACTGAATAATCAATCAAACTCAGAGTTGCGAAGAAATGCTATACTAATAAAAAAAACTAACATTAAGCTATAGTGCGATAATTTAGTAGTTAGAGAAAGTTCTGAAAAGGATATGTTGTTTGTTCCGTTAGAGTACGGTAGTGTTAAAATTGAACAGAAGTTGAAATTGAGCGAAGGGTGTTTAACGTGACAATACTAATCAAATGCGCACTCCTTGACCTAACTCACACTTTGATGGGTGAGGGGATTTGAGGTATTTCCTCAAACCAACAGGCAAAAGACTCGTTTGACTTGCTCATATACTGTCTGCGGCTGTGGAATGGTTCTAGCGACGTTTATCACTACCGAAAGCCCCACGTTGTATTTCCTATTTCGTTTACCCAACTATTGTTAAAAGAATGCGCATTTGATTAGTATCGTCGCATTAATGGCCATTCGCTCAATTACAACTTCTGTCCAATTTTCACACTTCTCTTAGATGAACCAGCCTACGGCTGAAAATATCCTATAAAAAAAATCACACTGCCGTACTCTAACGGAACTATCAATCTATCCTCTTTATAACTTTCTCTAGTTTATGAATTATCGCACTAAAGCTTCATCTTGATATTAGTATAGCATTTCATCCCAACCCCCAAATAATTAAGTTTTAAGGATCATATCATACTTTTTTTGGTACATATAATATGTACTGGGAACATTTCAGAACATTTCATTAGGAGTCCTTACAAAAGTGCTTTTCTAAACAATTTGTTTTACCATCAATTTCCCGGGAATAAAATGTTATTCGAAAAAAGGTAGATTCTCTAACCTTGGCCGGTTTCGGCTCATCGTAGTCGTACTCCACTAGATGCATACTGCTACTGCGACTGCTGGTCAGCATCGTCGGCGTTGGTGACTGCGGTGTCATTGGATGCGGCATGATGCTCAACTGCTGCTTCTTTTCCCACTGGCCACGGAACAACAACCAAAACTTCAACTTTGGCGCCTACTTGATACTTCTTCTTTCACTTCCGCTTTCGCTAGCTTCAGCGGAGGAAAAGACACGCTTTCGTGACAACCGAACGTTTAGCTAAACTGCGTTAATGACCGCCAACACTACGACTGCTGCTTCTGCCAGTGATGGTGCTTCTCGTTTAATCTCCGATTGGCGTGATCTGCTTCGATCTAGCGACACCGGACCTGTCTCGTTCTTTCTTCCTCCAATTAGCTAATTAATCGCACAAACCGGACTAAATCACATTTTATTTTTTCAACCGGCTAAGCACGGCTTTGAACTTGACGTGACTCGGCGGTATTAATTCAAAACAAACAATTTCCGTTTCACTTCACACTTCCACGAATCAGAAGCTGTGATTTTTCATATTTTTTTCATTTCATTTGCTGCTTCATAACACACCGAAGAAAAAAACATGCAAGTAATTTTCACCTTACACCTTTCGAAGCCATCAATTTTGGCAACATCACTTTCCCGAAACTTTCGCACTCTTTGCTTCTTAAAATTCTTCAACTCAATCGCTTCTTCTGCTTCGGTTATTGGTCAATCGATTTCAGCGCAATTATTTTGCATGCATCCACAAACACAATAGCACCGCACACTATTTCACCTCCGAGCAGCTCTTCTGATTGCCGATGACGAGGAGCACTTTGACCAAATCTAATGAGCACTTCACGAGCGCAGCACCGAAAAAAAAAATTCAATCAATCATTTATCATTACATTTTGCCCGCATTCTCCTTTGCGGTACTCTTTCGCCGATTGTGTAGTATTCTTGCTGTTGTTATTATTACTACAACCGACTGCTGTTATTGCACACGTTTCATACGGAAAGCGTAATAACTTCACCGCTCACAGCTGCACGCTCTTCGACACAGGGTAAAAATTTCTCCTCATTTCACAAACCACAATTTCAAACCAAACCAAAAAATGTATCGTTGCAATGGACCGAAATTCTCCATATCACTCACCTATAATCATCCTGAAGATGATATTGTCACGTGCACCTAGCCACAAAACACACCCGTGGACTCTGAGGTGAGAACGACCGAACGATCGAAACACTTGTAATAACAACCGGGAAGAAAACGCACACACGTTGTCGGCGAACGGACGACGGTGAGTTCACAAAGGTGTGCACTCTGCGAACGTAGTGCACCTTTGGCGACAACAACAAAACACACGATTCCGTATATTGACGAAAAAGGCGTACAGCGACAGAGGTATGGCGCACGTACGCTCCGGACGGCGGCTCACGAGCGAATGTTGATGATGGGCCTCTCTGTGTTTTTGAACCAAACTATGCGGACTGAGAGCGGAAAAGGCTCTTGCATGCATTCTGTGTGGCTCTCGGTTCATCCGAATCACATCGTATCGTAGCAGGTATCGGGCGAAATTCACTCAAAGCGAGTGAGCAACAGAAAATTTAAAAAGTTGCTCCCTCGTCGCCACTTTTAGGGAAGGATCAAAAATGGAGTAAGCAGAGAAACTTCAATGCTCGATTCAGCGAGAAGTTTTGTTTGTTTGTTTTGATGTCGATAGACTGCATACCTACAGCTGAAAGTGTTCATTTTTGAACGGTGAGTCGGTGAGCGAGCCGGTACCGAGATAGAGTGTGAGATTTGAGACATATTTTGAAAGATACCGATGCAAAGGTGTGATATATTTCAAATTTCTCAGCAAAGTTGTCTGGAAATAACTTTTGGAGACGCAATTTTTACCACGCGGAATTTGTAGATATATTTTGCCAATCAAGGGTTATTTTCTTATGAAAATACGCCGTTTTAAAAAATGGATGGGGTAAACACAAACAGCATTTTATCCTAACGTTTTTGTTCTACGTTACATCAAAAAGTAGTGGAAGCTGAGTACCGCGGAGTCACTCGAAATAGTTGTCAAGCAAATCTAACTGGTGCTATGAAAAAAAAAATCCAACGATCAGGACCAACAGCAAGGCTTATTTTCGCCCCTTTAACAGATTCGTTCGAAAGAGTATTCGGATCAATACTCAACATTTTATCCTTAAATCTGCTATGTGAATCTTTATTTGAAATTGAAATATAATGAGTTATCTTTTGAAAAGATGAACATATTTAAAGCTTAACCTTAAGCTCGAACCAAAGATCTTTAGCTCCGTAGTCCTGCTGCGATCCTCGCTGGCATATGAGCACGTCTATTCGGAGCAATAAATTTCAAATTATGATGCCTCGCTTGTATACGTGATTAAATCTAATTCGATCTGGTGTATTATATGATAGCATTCCTTCTCTAGCTGAAACGGCTTAGAGCAGTGCAGATTGCATTATACAATCTTGTTCTGCATTATACATGACTTATTATCTTATATAATTTCAACTGTACATTAATGTGATTCGTAATTAACTATTTTAATTTGCAACAAACATGGTTCCCAGAGAAACAGCAATGAGTACAAACTTGGGTTTGGTTGGTTGGTGTGAAGTGCTCGTAATATCTGGAAGGTTGCTGATATTTGAGCAAAACTACCCCTACATAGTTGTGAGAAATTATGTATTCCAAACCCATCCAAAGAGATGTGTGGTCCAATGAGCGCATACGACGATGAATTTCACTTGGAAACCTCAACATTTGCAATGAGCTTTGCTGAAATTTCTTTCTTTTCTTTGACACTCCATTTTAACATTTAATTTCCGAATTACCATGGAAACACCATGGCTCTCCTATCTGGAGAATATTTCCCCTTGGTAGTGCATTTAATCCATATTTCCCGTTTAAGTTTTCAACGCTTTTTATAAATGCTCGAATTTTCAATGAAATCCGGTGGTTATTTATGAGTACTCCAGAATCAAAAAGTAGCAGTAGCTCTTGTATCATCGGTGACAAAAAATCATCACCATCCACGGGTTTACTCGCTCCATAGTATATTCCGATAGTCATTGGCTGAATGTAAGGAAGCTCATGAATATTGGCAACAATTGGCTGTTACTTTTTGTTTGTTATGGTCCAATATTTTGTTTTGACAATATGACTGAAACTGATCTTATGTACACATATCCGGAGAACTTCGAGATTAGGGCGTAATTGCTTTTGTAAACAAACAAGTCATTTGCAGATTTCTCGCAAATTATAGCTCAATCTAAAAAAAAAACTAATAGGGGAAATGACGGCTTCGGCATGACAGACTATTTTCGGCAACACAAATTGAAACACTATTTTCACTGGATTTTCTTATGAAAACACTTCGCTGAATGCATGCAAACGATTCTTTATGCTTTCAGCTTCAATTTGACTATATTTTTACCACTGAGAAAAAGCAATCTAGCAAGGTTTTCTTGAAATGCAACACACGCACTACAAATTGTAGCTGATTTCGAGTTGCCGATAATAATACAGCAGATTTACATGCAGTTCAAATGGAACGGTTGCCGAAGAAAAACTGGTTGCCGACAATACTCGCTCTCACTAGAGAAGATTGGAGCTTTGTAAAAGCGTTTCAAAACAGTTTTTGACAATTCTTTCGACTGAACTTGTTAGAGCAGCTGGCAGCAAAAGATTGTAAACAAACCAATACTGCATATGTGTGCGTTCCTTAGAGAAAAAGGCTATAGAAAGAAGGTCGCTGCTTAGGTTGCCGAGAATACGTAAATTCCCCTAGCACAAACAGGTAGAGGAATGGTTTATCTATCATTTGGTATAGTTTGTTCTTTTATTCGAGAGAAATCGGCGGTTGACGTGTTTGTTTACAAAAGCAATTAAGCCCAAATCTCAAAGTTCTCCGGATATATAAGATCATCAACATTTTTACAATAGAACGCGTTAAATAATTCCTTATTGACATCAAACGAACTCATATATAATCTCGCAAAGAGGATTATAATTGGATCAAAAATTTTCATCTTAAACAATTTCAACCAATTTGGAATTGCATCTTATGCAACTTTAACTTGATTTGGATATTTATCGATTTTAAACGAGCATCTTTATACGATTTGTGGTTTGCTGGGTTAAAAGCAGGCTAATTTTTTAAACCAGTAAAAAAGTACGATTAATTCATTGCAATAATCACTAATGATTGTAAACATCCTAAACAAAGAAAACTTAACCATCAAAATAAACGGGACTGAGGGAAATCAGCAAAAGCATATTCGACCGTTTGACTTGATATTGAACTGTTTCTTACTTAATAACCATTTAAAACTTATTCCGCACATTACAAAATAATGGCTGAATCAAGCAGTTGTAAACAAATAGTGAGAAAGTCCCGAACGAGTTCTCATTTTTGCTCTGACGTAAATAAGGCTTGTACTCGAAAAAAATGCACCATTTTTATCCGTGTGTAACTTTTTTATCCGTGGGTAAAAATTGATGAAAATCATGTTTACATGTGCAAAATTTCGGTTCAGTGGTTATTGAGATGCCATCGAAACAAGAAGGAAATCGCCGGAGAATTTTGCGCGCCGTCATGGAAAATCCGACTGCGACCATGAGATGGATCGGAAGACAACTGGGAATCACCCATACAACTGTGTCTCGGGTGGTAAAATCATTTAAGGATTCCCAGACGACCGAGCGGTGGGCTGGAAGGGGAAGAAAATCGAAGACAGCTGACCCTGTGGAGGCCCGGAAGGTGTTGGATTATTTCAAGCGTAGTCCGAACCTTTCGATGTGGCTCTGAAGGCAAAGTGTTCCGCCTGGTTCGTTCAGTAAACCATGAAACGAGCTGGGCTTCGTGTATTCAAGGTCCGGAAGGCACCGAACCGGCGTGATCAACAAAACACGGCGGCCAAATCCGCACAAGGAAGCTGTATCGAGAGTGGTTAACGAAACCGATGTGTGTGGTTATGGATGACGAAACCTAGATCAAGGCAGACGCAACTCAGATACCGGGGCTGAAGTTCTACGTTGCCAAATCACGGTTTGATGTTCCGAAAGACATAAGGAAGAAGAAAGTGGACAAATTCGCCAAAAAACACTTGCTCTGGCAGGCCATATGCCAATGCGGTAAACTGAGTAAACCGTACATCACAATGGGTACCATCAACAGCGAAATTTACCGCACCGAGTGCCTCCAGAAGCGTCTGTTGCCCTTCTTGCGGTCCCACGGAGGCGAGACATTATTTTGGCCGGACCTGGCATCATGCCATTACGCGCGATCGACGTTGGATTGGTACAGAGACAATAACGTTGTTTTTGTACCAAAAACCGCCAACCCCCCAAATTCACCAGATATTCGTCCGGTGGAAAGATTTTAGGCGATAACGAAGGCCAAAGTTCGAAATTCGTCCAAGGTATTTAAGAACGAGCTGAAGTTGAAGAAAGAATGGATGAAAGTGACCAAAAAGGTCGGCTCCACCATTGCACAAAATGTAGTGAGGGGTCTGAAGGGAAAGGTGTGGGCTTTCAGCGATGGAAAGGAGTAAAGTAATTTTGCCGAAACATAATCCATATGTATTAGTTCATTCCCTGAAAGTTTCAAGAAAATCCGACTTAAAATAAATTTTTGGCGAACACTTTTGTCTGGTGCATTTTTTTCGAGTACAGGCCTTACCTTTGACAACGATGACGACTACCACGGTGGATGATGAAAGGCCGATCTTGTCGGCAAGATGGCAGTACCACCGCTCACTGAGAATCCGGAACAATTCCAGTAATGGCGGATTTTACAAGGCTGGACAGAAATATGGCGATACCACTGACTAGTCTACCGGTGACTACAGTGAGATGACGGTCCGTCTAGCGCGTCTACCGTACGTCGGCTGTAGTGGGGGTTGGTTTTAACTGGGTTATCGGTTTGTGGACATGGTTCCGATACACAGGCGCTTCCTTCTGACGGAGCCGGTTAACGACAGCAAGGCCGCTCTGGCGATTCAGGAAGGGAAATTCTCCTTTACAATTAGGATAAGGCAACTAAAACGCCACCTATACCGCAGTACTTGACTCGCCAACCAGATAGCGATTCGATTTGTAGAAAAAGTCCTAGCGAGGAGGTAACATTCATTAGTGCCATTCTTCGACCAATTTCGAGAAAGGCTTAGAATTTACCTGAATCCGCGAAATTGGTGATTTACACTTCACCTTGATTCACTATTCGCATTTGATATTCTGGTAAAAGTATACTCCACAGACACTTTTGGTCTACACGCTCGCCTGAGATAAAGTGAACGAAGCATCGCAAAACCCTTCAGCTCATCACATGCATGCCAATCGGCCGTTATGCATGGCCGTATCGTCTGCCCAGTGCGCAACAAAAAATAATGTTAATATC